ACAGTTGACTGTTCACCTCCCCACACCCCTTCCCTCCCCCTGCCCATTCCTCCCCAACAGACATACCAGCTGGACACTGCTCTCCAAGCTGCTGGGCTTGCATATCGACAATCAGATCAGTATCAGTTGATACAGCTCATTAATAGTCAGCCAGCGATATTGGCCCAAAAAATCTTTATCAGCGCACCTCTCCCTGCCATGCTTCTGCTCAACTACAAGCCAATAGTCCACAATATGGACTTTGTTTGGCTTCAGGCTCAGCCTGACCTGAGACCTGGAATAAATTATTGTGTGTGACATGAATGAAAAGGCAAAAAACAATTCCAGGGAGTGTGATGCCCAAGAAAATGGTGGGTAGCTCCAATTCCTTTTTCTCTTACCTCTGACATCTTCAGGAGGCCTTTTGCTAGAGCCATCCGGAACCCCATCTTTCCATGGAAGAACCCGTCCTCGTTGAGCAGAGAGGAGTTCTTCTTGAGGACTTCACAGACTGGGGAGCCCTCAGAGAGGTTGGCATGCAGGCCAATTGGGATGTTATGCCTACAACGTGAAAAACATGCCAGGTGAGCTTTGCCTGCTCTGCAGCCAGTGAGGCACCATTCAAGGAGCTGAAATGATTGATGGAGAGGGGCTTCATTCTTTCCATCCATTGTCACTGCTCCCCTAGAAACACACTAAACAATGTAGCTGACTTCCTAGGGGGAACAATCCTGTGCTGAGGTGCTTTGCATCTCACACACCTGGGATCCCATGAAACAGAAGAGCAGGAACAAGAGCCATAAAGCACCTCAGTCAAAGTCAGTACTGCTGTAACTCTACCAGCTCTATTTGCACAGACAACAGCCAGGCTTCCAGAGTGGGTGGTTCCCATGTTAACGATGGGTTTTTGAGGTATTTCAGTTTTGCCTGACAGCTTATGTTTAAGCTGCCCTTAGGCAGTATCCAAATATAGGCCGTGCATGCCACATGCAGCTGTTACAGTAACAGCACAAGCTACAGCGGCATAGTAAATAGTGGCAGATTTAAGGATGATGCAGTTCAACAGGCTGGCCTGGCAACTGCAGCCAGGTGCTCAGCTCCTCTGTTGATGTACAGGAAGGATGGGTGACTGGTCAGCAAAGTTAGAGCTGTACATATTAGCACATCCCTGTATTACAGAAGCAAGTTACAGCAGTAAGTGTTGGCAGAACATAAGCGCAAAGCCTGGAGTTAAAGCACCCCAAAGGTCTGACTCAGCAACTGTGGATTAAAAAAAAATCCAACAAGAGCCAGTGGATCAAACTCCTCTTAAAGCTTTTTATGGAGATACTTCATATTAGCCACTGCTTTTGCTTGCTTGGTGTTTGTTATGGCTTCCCCGACAATGCACAATGGGAACTGCAGGTGCTGACAACCCTGGTTACTTTCTTTATGCCTAAGGAGTTGGCTGAAAGGCTGCCTTGACGTTTCTTCCAAACAGATTCCTGAATGGAGGTTCCCCTTGGCCTCTGGCAGGCACAGGATGGGTGAAGGGAAATGAAGGACGAATGCAGTGCCTCTCCCAGTGCTGCTGTCACAAGGTTGTCTTCAATCAGGGCACAAGCCCTCTCACGGTTGCCTCTAACCTCAAGCTGCCTGATGGACAGCAGCTTAAAGCTAACTGTGTCAGCCGCAACGTGGAAAAGTCACATTAAATGGGAATGCCATCCCTTTGTCAGAAGACATTATGCAGCAAGGAGGCCTGCATAGGCAAGCGTATTTAATGGCCACCAGTGTCCCAGCTCTGGGCTCCCTGGTGCTTCCTGCCAAGAGCTGGCCAGGATTTTTTCCATTGTTGGAAAATGCTGAAATCAAAGTTGTAGAAACCAAAACTGTTCACAGACACACAGCAGCTCTGATGAAAGAGTTGTTAAGAAATGTTTTTTCAGGCTTGGGGGGAATGCTTGTTCACTCTCTCTCCTTGTCTTTTGTTGAGGCTGTTTGACTTTGTGATCCAACAGGTACATAATTTATTCAGAGAAAGAGAGATGAATTCAGGAGCCCTGTGCTGACAGCTCTTGCCTGGACCATGGGAGACCCAGCTTCAAGTCTTTGAGTCAGTAAATATAAATTAAACAGAGTGGGACAGTCCCAAGAGGAGAGCTGCAGAGAAACCCACTGGGAAACCCAGTAGCCTGGTAGACAGAGCACTGGCCTGTGGAAGAATGGCAGACCCAGGACTAGACCCTGGGGTTTGCAAGTGCCCTACCCCCCAGGGCTATTCTAGGGAAGCTACGGAACAGAGAGGTCAAAAAAATGTATGGGCCAGTTCTGAGCCTGTAAGTTATTTTGCTAGTGTGGACACCGCACTGGATGCTGTAGTGTAGACAGCTTTCTGGCTCCAGCAGCTGTTACAGCCACCTGCTCTGACCAGGCTTAACTGATCTGGTGCTAAAAATAGCCCCTGGAATAGGCAGCTTCTACAACAGGAAACAGCACAGCTAACCCCAGTGCAGCTGAATCAGCATAGGAGCTGTACGCAGACATTCACTGGGGCGGGGAAGGCAACAGGGTTTGATTTCCGAACCTCCCAACCCCTGCACTCCTCCCACCTGGAATATTAATAGTGGCAATTTGGTAAGGTTTGCCAGATGGGCATTTCCTAGTTGTGACGAAAGGGATGTCAAAGCCTGCAGAACAGCCTGAGGAGGGGAGTGGGGAATGCTGGGGTCAGTCCATGCATCTTGGGCCTCCCTGGGCACATCTACACCATATGTTTACTGTGGAGCTGCCTAATTAACTCCACAGTAAAGTCTCCACATTCATACGTGTGGTCCTATTAGGTTGCAGTAAACTAATAAATGCTGCCATAGGTTAGCACTTGTAAATACAAGTACTATCCTATGACAGTGTTATTTGCTGCACAGCAATGCACATGTAGACTGTCAGGGCTGGCTGGGGCACAAGGGTGCTTCATTGCAGGGGCTGCCTGCT